AGAGAGCTGGTCTGGGAAAAATTCAGGTAAGAGAGTTAAAATTAGACCAAGCTGCACACAAAGCTACAAAACAGATTTTACTTACTCTGGGGGAAAGCAACATTTTTCACTAAGGACTTGATGAGCAGTTGTGGGTTGAATTTTCTTTTTCTTTTTTTAAAGCAGGTTGATGATGAAAAATCTCAGAACAGTATGACTATCATGAGAATAATTTCTAAAGCAGGAAGCATGACAGCCCCACACCCACAACAGCAGAAGCAGCTGCCACATGCAAGTTGTCAGCCACACACTGCAGGTCGGATCCTGCATTACTTAACACTACTTGGAGTTCTGACATTGTCTTCAATGCAGTGAACTGCACAACGCAGAATGAGCTAAAAGCCGAGTGTAAGAGAGGAAAAAACAAGTGTGCAGTATTACCCAAGTCAGAAGGTATTTCACAGCCCCATGTCAAAGCAGGAAGCCCAGCCTGAGCAGAAGTACCAGGACCACCACCACTTACCACCAGGATCCGCAGCATTAAGAAAGGATCCTACCACCGAGAAATAACAGTAATTAAAACAACCTCTAACCTCATCTGAAGTTCCCCACAACATGACTTCAGTGCCTCCCAGATTCTACATGCTGCAAGAGAAATTTCTTCTTGATGCTAAGGGGAGAAAAAAAAAAAAAAATCAGAGCAGGTTGTTTCAATTTTATCTGGAACATTTCCACCTGCCCACCTCTTTTCTGCACAAAGCCTCTCCAAGTTCAGTGGAAGTCCGTGGCTGGCTTTAAGCACAGGCAACATAGGAAGCTGCTGGGTGTCAGAAAGATTTCCATAGCCCCTTTGCCTCGGCTACTGTAGTGGAAAGCCAGACCCACTGCTGCTAGCTGGGAAAGGATTGGGAGCAAGGGCAGCTGACTGTAGTGGTGAACCAGCAGCAATCACAGCCTCCGACCCTGCTGTTCCTCAGGGTGAGCAAGCACCAAAGGCAGCTCTCCGGGAAGGCATCTGTGGCAGCATGGCCCAGATGGGGAAGCGTTCTGCCTGCATTTGAAAAATGAGAAGTTGAAAAAGCTTGGAGCAAGTAACTCTGCCTTACAAAATGGCAAAAAACAACTGGCAGCATCCCATGGTCCCTGAGCACGGCAGCATCTCCCTTGCTTGCAGGGACTCCTGAGGAGAAGAGATCCTGTCTTTTACAGAGGTCAAAGCAGCTGTTCCCAAAAAACCAACCCATAGCAATGCCAGAGCCCCCATAGCCTGCCTCACGCTGTGTAAACAGCAAAAGCAGATCGGGGGGAGGAAAAATAAGGGGTCGTAATGATTGTTCCAATTTGGGTACTGCTGTGTGCGCAAAATTCCTGGTTAAAATTCAATTATCCCCACGGACAGCCTGGCATTACCGTTGCCTTTCCCGACTTTGGCACAGTCTGGCTGCAGGCAGGTGCCCATCAGCCCACCATCCGCCTCTGCTGCTGCGGGGGTTACTGTGTCGCAGAGCTCTCGGGTCTGAGCCGAGGGCCCAGCACACGGTATGGAATATGCCAAGATATTTTCAACGGAGAGAGCTTTCAGTGCTGTAAGGAACAGCCTTTCTTTCCACACATTAGCACATTGAAATCTGTACAGCAAGCCTGTCAAACAAAGCAGCTGCTCTCTGGCTCTCCTACACCTCTCCTCAGATGGAAGAGCTTCAATTATGTGGCGTGCCTGCAGGATCCAAGAGTTCCAAGAGCTGCTGCCGTACCGCGTACTTGAACGCTGTGCCTTCCTCTAGGCACTGTGTAAGGAGATCTGATGTACCAGCCTGTTGGTTTTCACGCGGTGGCTCAATGCAAAGGGTTGCCCTCGGAGTTTGCTCCTCGCAGCAGGGGTGTAGGAGTACAAAACCACAAAGTTATTTACTCCCTCCCTCCCCCTACATTTTCAGACTGACAAGTTACAGAAAATATTTTCTAGGGGAATATAATCAACTATAGAAAAAAAAAGTAATTAAGAGTAACTGCGATGTCCAATTTGACTTAATTTCACACAAGAGCTCTAAGGTATTTACATACTTAAAATCTTTAGACTACCATGACCATGTCCCATGATTTTCAGAAGGAAGCATGGAACATCCTTCCCAAAATAAGAGTCAGGAACATTTGTAGCCCAACTCAACTGCTGCTTAGATACCACAGTAATGGTCGTGCTAAAAGACCTAATTAACTCCCACTGATTTCAGAGAAGTCACTAAGTAAGAGCCAAAACAGGTACATCAACATGTTATCTTAACTTGCAGTCACCTCCTGCTTTTCTCAGTCACTCTGGCAACATATCAATTATCACAATACTCAGATTAGCTCCTGTTTCTAAACAAATACTGGGAAGGTGAATCTTTTCCCCTAAAACATTCTGCAGTATAATTGGCAACCTGTACTAAATGCTCATAATCCGGAGACATCTTCCAGAAAAGAAATAAAGCTAAGGAGCTGTCGGTTCAAACTGTCAAATCTAAACTACCTGACAGCATATTGAACCTTTAAGTTGAGAGCAAAAGACACAGACACTCACATAGGTCTGTCATCAGAAATGTGAGACAGTAGGACAGCACAGAGTGTGGTTTCACATGCACCAGAAATGCATCAGCAAAGCAGCACAGAGGTGTAAGGTAAGATTTCCTGCAAGAGTATTTGTTACTCTGAGCCTGATTTTTATAGTCATCCCACATACTTCCAGTAACCTAAAGAGATCACGAGATTAGAGGGCCTGCAGCAATGCACTTAAGCATTTACCTGGCATGCTTTGACACAGAGAATAAATGAAAAAGTAATCTAGTTTGGCACTTGAGAAATTATCCTGCTGCAGAGCTAGCAGGATGAAAGGAGGAGCCAGCAGGCCTCACTCAAGTGCCAAAAGTCCATGGGTAGTATCACACATCATCTGCGAGGTGCAGCGCACATCAGGAAGCTAGTCAGAAAAAGGGCGTACGACATCCAGAGTCAAGGCTGGCAACCGACGCGGGATAGCTCCCCACCGCACACGAAACCCGCTCCCTGCCCCGCGTCAGCCTGTATGCCGCAGGCTGCTGACATATTGGCTTACATGCTCTTAGGGAACAAACTGAGTCATGCTGCTAAGACTTGAAAATAAACGGGTTGTTTAAAAAAGCCCTGCATTCCGCAGGCAGTACATCCAGTCTCGCAAAGCCGAGGCTGACGATACGTACCCGCTTGCCCATTTTGCCCCCAAGATTACCGCAGCGCACCGACACCTTCCTGCATGCAAAACGCAGCTGTGGAACAGAGAGCTACATGCACTCAACTTTAAGAAAAGAGTTAAGCCTTTTCTTAAAGGCCTCTTTATTTTTCAACTCCTTCCAAACATAAATTAATTTAAACAAATCAGATGCAAAACACCTGCATTTTAAATTAGCATATATTTTACTGTATCAATCACAGCAACCTCATACAGTAAGATACACAAAAATAGAGCATGGTATCACTTCAATTCAACACAGTTTTGTACTACAGTATCCATGACATAAATACACAGGACTTTTCTTTTTCAAAGCAATTGTAGTCCCTGCTATGTTCACCGTAAAAATTACGTGGCATCACAGTTGTAGTTATTCACTGTAGTGTGAGTAGCCATGTGGAAATTGAACTCGTGAACCAGAAGATAACACTGTATAGCAGCCAAACAGGCGTGACACTTCAGAAGGTGAACAAAAACAAAATAACCACCAAAATGAAAACCACCCTTGGACTGGATTTTAATAGTAAAATTGCTTTTAAATTCTTCACTATATACATAACGTATCTACATTTGTGTCTTATTTATATATATATATATATTTATAAAAAAAACGTACAAGAGTTTGAAAACCTTAAAATCGTTCACCTAAGCAGTATTCACCCCAGCCTTCAGGGTCAGCAAGGCAATACTTGCCCATGACGCTATGTTCAGGAGCAGCCCCTCGATTCCGAAGTCTCCCTGACGGCTAAACACACACCGTTCACTTTGTTTCTTAGTGCAAACTGTACAGTAACTTACTGTTCTCAGCCCTCTGTAAGACTCTGGTTTCATCTTATTTCCATAATACTTCCGACACCCATTTATGGCTAAAATTATTTTAGCTATTTTACAATGTTAGCCTATAGAGTTTCCCCCTCTACCTACCTCAAGCCCTCCCCCCACCCACGAAGTGTAAGACAAACAATCATTCATGCATGTTTCTGTCACACAGGGATCAATGGACATTTAAGTTCAGAAGCCTAGACTCTAACAGTGCTTAAAAAAACCCTAAGTGGATCATTTTAGTGCAAGGTGGACTACATAGTTTACATCTCAGCTAGAGTTCTTTACAGATAGTGTAAACACATTTAATTTTGCACATCAGATTAGGTTGCCTGATAACTTTGTTCTAACTAGCTAGTTGGAATAAGGAAGTTAGAAGGATTCTTATGGGTGTCCTTTTACTCCAAAACTAAAGCCTATTCAAAATCAGGTGTTGTTTGGGGGTCAAACTGTACAGAGCCTAGCACAACAGAGCCCTGGTTCTCAGCTAGGGTTCCTAGGTGCTACAGTAATACAGATAAACATTATTATCCCATTCACATCCATAACTGATGGGTTTACTTTAACAGGAGTCACAAATGAGCTCTGATTTTCAACCAGGCCAGTGCTTCACTTGCTGGACTACACTACGGACTTCACAGTGAATTTGGAAGCAAGCGTAACATTTATACTTACAATTTCCATAGCCACAAAGGAAAAGCGTGCACTGAGAACCAAAACCCTGCAATAACCCTGCAATTCTTGGACAAGACTCCACTCAGCCTAGTGGTAGCCTTATCAGAGGGGGTGGGGGAAAGTCAGATTACAAACAAAAAATGATCAGAGCCAAGAACATCAGTCTGCCACAGTGACTATAATAAGCTATGAAATACAGTACAAGGAACAACAAAAATTCACCTGAACAAATAACCCAGAGAGACTTCATAGTTATAATGATTTTACCACTTTTAAGAACTCAACATATTAAATATTTATTAAAAATAAACTGTTTCCAGATTACCTATTTACAGTACAAAGAACAGTACTTAATACATGTGCAACAGAAAGTAAAGAAAATTAGTACTCATCTGGAAGGACAACACTCGAGGTGTAATTTCAGCGACATGAATGCAGGTTCACCTTTTAAAATACCACACAGTAAAAACCAGTAGGATGACATTGGCAACACCAGAAAATAAAGCACATACTGTCCAGATTGAGACGATATAAGCTTGAGATAAACAACCAGGAGATAAGGGGAGAAGGAAGAAACATAAAGACAAAAGGAAGAGACGCTGTGGTGTTCGCATTTTGGAGATCAAGAAATGCAGACACGCTTCAAAAAAAAAAAAAAATAGTCCTTGTTGGCAAAACAAGCCACTCGCGTATTTCTTGCACATTTCAAAGTCATAATTTATCAAAAAACAGCAGTAGCTTCCTTACTCATAGAAAATGAGACTCTTAATTCTCAGGTTTTATTTTCAAGCCCTGCATGGTTTTGTTCGGGCAAGGAGATGACTGCAATGTAATAGAAACGTGCGATGTCGCTTTTCTAAAATGCAACAGCTGCCAAGTTTTAATGAAAAAGGTGCTCTTCTCCCCCATTTAAATTGAAAAATAATGATCATTTAGGAGTTACCTAAATTATAGCAGCATGAAATCTAATGTATCTGCAGCATCTGTGAAGCCACAAAAATCAAGAACTGGCACCTGATCACTGAACCATGGTTCCAAATATTTGGACATGTCATTTTTTGTAAGAGGTCAGTGTATTTTCTTATCAGTGAAGTCAGTACATTAGTTAGAATAGCCCTTTCCCCTCCCTCTTTCCTTCCCCTCCAAAACGGACTAATCGAGTCTATCTATAAACTACATGGGACAGCTGGGACGATTTATAATTTAGCTGATTGTTAGGCATGAATCTGTGAAGCTCGCTTTTTCTACAGCAGGGATCGTAATAGTAAGCATTGAGGCAAGTGTCACAGGAGACTTTTGAGCAAAACGTGCAAGTGTTTGCCGCTCCAGACCGGTTGCAAAAGCCGCAGCGCGAGGTGCCTGAAGGTTTGGATTTTGAACCGAACGGAGCAGCTCTCTCTTGACTCTGAGTCTGTGACGTGTACTGAGATTTCTCCCTTAAAGCAGACGCAGGAGACAAGCCGTCATTTGGAAGTGGTTTGATTGAATAGGTGCTCTGTTTCACTGCTGGGTATTCCTGCCTGGAGTTGAACAGATTGTCACACTTTTGGCAAACCGAAGTGCCACAAGGTACGCCACAGTTTTGGCACTTGAGGGAAGCTGTCTCTTTGGCTAGGTGGGTGCGTTTGTGGTAAACAGGGTTGGCATCACTTTTTAACACCCATACATCAGGCTTAATAGCTTCTTGTCTTTTAAAATTTAACATACTTCTAGAATCGGGATCAGTATATAAATCTAAGTCCTCTTGAGCAGAAAAATAGGAGCTGTAAGGGACATTTGTTCTTAGCATGCCATTGTGATGAGATGAAGTTGGCAAGAATTCATCTGAACACCCGTGTGGGGAGCTTGACATTGTCAGAAGAGAGGGCGATGGACGGATAATTTCATCTTTAATGTCATCATCTGCATCAACTAAAATTGGTTCTTTCCTGAGACTCAGTGAGCTCATCAAAGGTGGCTTCTTACTCTCCCAATAATTATCGTAGGTGTCCACTGATTTAGAAGGCTTGCTCACCTTTGGCTTGAAATAATCTTTAGAGGCCCGTTCGCTCGCCGATTTCTGCAGTACCATCCGCGCCATGGAAGTGTTTAAGTTCTCTTTGCACTCTGCACGCCGTTTCATGGCTTCTGAGCAGCCTCTAACGTCTTCATTGCTATTTTTCCGTTCATTTATGACATCAATCTCTGAATAACCTTTTTCCTTCACTTGCAAGTGAATTTCAAGAAGCTGCTCACATTCCACTTTGGCCAGAAAGAGTTCAAACGAAATCATTTTCACTTGAATGGCATCAACCTGCTCTTTGAGCTTATACATTGTTCCCAGTTCTTGGACATAGCCCATGTAGTTCAAAATCTGCCTGACATCATCTTCAGTTAGAGCAGACTTTACATAATAAACAAAGGGTCCAGTGTAGGTCTAAGGGGGGTGGGGGGAAAATAAAAGGAAAACTAGGTTACAAATTCAGTGGTGGACTAGATGTTCAGATAATTCAGTGACAGATACTATATAATTAAACAGAATAATAGTGACAGTGAACACACGCAATTCCCATGGCAAGATGAACTCCATTTCTGCATCCCTCCTGTTCAGCAGATGGAAAATCTGCATGAGGCAAATTCAAAGTAGGAGAGTTTTCATTCAAATTGAAATCCTGATTAGCATAATGCCCTCCCTGTTGATTTAAATCACTATGCTATACACTGACATTAACTTTTATGCACATCAGGCACGTTTGCATTTACAAGCAAGTCTACCAGAAAGCTAAAAGGCAGAGATTTCATGTATTGCCCCTGGACCGGGGATAGCTATAGAGAACAGAACTCAGGACGCCTACAGGAGTACCACAGTCGTCTTCAATTCAGCTTTAAATGTATTTGAGGTAAGCCTTTTTTTGTGTACAATTACTATGCAATATCAGATGTCTTGTTCATTTACTTTTATATTAGGTCAAGAACTCTGACTAAAAAAAGCCCCCAAAACCAAAGGTATGAGTTTGTGCAGGCTGAAATATGCTCAGCACCTGGCATACCTGAGGTATGTTCTTCACCCAGTTCAAGCTGGTTTGGATTGCAGTCAAGAGCAGCCTGCCCATCATGTCTTTGTATAGAACAGGTACTGGATCCACAGCACACAGCCAAAGCCAGAATTGGCAGTGCCTCAAGAGGGATCCTCGATGGATCAGCCAACATTTCAAAGGCCAGAACTTAAGCATAATGATGAGGGATTTATGGAGAGATCTTGAAGAAGGGGAATTTCCCCTTGGGGAAACAGAGAACTCTCAAATATTCTCATAATGTTCAAATTCTCTGCTAAATAGTGAAAGAGTGGCTTCTTAAGAAAAGACAAACAAAAATACCCATCACTAGTGCACACAACCTCCAAATCACTTTAGGCACCTGTGCCAGCAGTGTTTTTATCCAGCTCTCAAGTCTCAAAACCATTCTTCTAAGTCACCTGCAGCACTCATTACTGATAGGCTGCAGCAGTTTTGAACAAACATATTAAGCCAAGAGAAAATAGAAAAACCAACAGCAGAGAACTGACTATCAGACTTCCAGCACCCCAGCCAAGTTCCTACTTTTCCCTCTGAGATCCTGGCATAGGTAAATAATTTGAGAGTACATTAAAATCAGAACTTCATGAATTGAGAACCGACAAGTAAATAAAAGATATCTGGAAGCAATTATTTCAGAGGAGTTCCTTTACCATTTTAACTTGTGGAAACCTCAACAAAGCATTCAGTTGAAAGCATGCATTGGTTGTTAGTAGTTGCGCTCAATTAACAGTTGTGGCATGACAAAAATCAAACTTCGAGTGAGCTTAAACACAACTTGACGGCTCACCCTAGTGAAAGCATCTCCACGTAGAAATTCAGACACTGCAGCAGTGTAGGCTGAACAAAAGCCTTAAATAAGCTCCATTTCATGGTTACATTTTAAATGCAGATAATACTTGTATTGCTGCTCTCGGGATACTCTCACCAGCACAAACTTCACTTATTTTACATAGAAGCTTTCCTATGGCTTTGTTTACCAACTATATATAGACAAACTTATACATCATGCTGATAAATGGGGGGGGAAAAAAAAAGTCATCTTTAAAGGAAATGCACGAAATGTACTGAAAGAAAGAAAAACCAACCACACTCTCACTGTGGTCACAAATTAAAAGTCTTACCTTAATATTTTTGAACTCCTTTTTCCAGGGGTAAAGAAAGAGATTAATTCCAACTGTCTCGAGCATGCTGAATGCATTATGGAGAAAATGTAAACTTGAGGATTTCACAGATCTCAGTGAGTTTTCAGCCATCTCGTAAAATTTTATCAACCGGAATCTATAAAAGGGATCAATTTTGGGAAGGCAAAGTAAGGCTGCCGCTGCCACTCGTAAGTACTCATCATTAATAGGACGCTGCTTGTTGTCAGAGGCATTCAGTTTGCATTCATGGAACTGTACATACTTCCTAAATAAATCGTCTTTGTATTTTGTATCCATTGAAATCAGTTTTATCTCACACTTGGGCAGCTACCTCGTCTCTTTCATGGTTATTCGGCAGTAGGTTGATTATCTGGCATTAAGAATCTTCAGTAATGGCAACTCTTCTGGAATAAAAATTGAAAACAAAGACAAATCATCACAGTTGCATAAATCCCAGATGTCCACAGCATCTGCCTGCCTCACAAGAGTCTGTAAAATGTTTCACAGAGCAGCAGCTCCTACAACAGCCTCTGAAAAAGCACAAGTCTACAGAAATGCTCGTGTCCTGCTTTTCACTGTCATTCTCCACTCCTCTTACAGTTACCCGCTAAAGCAGCACAACAAACCTACATGGAGCAAGGCACTGAGTTTGATACAATAAAGCTGGCATAGGCTCAAACCCGGATTCAGGGTTCCTCAGCTTAGGGAACCCAGGCAAAAGTAACTGGCACCAAAAAACTGAAGGGAGAAGCATGAGTTTTAAGAGCCTCTTCTCTGTGTTTTATTTTGCCCTTTCAGTTCAGGCAACTTACACAAACATTATTTTAATCAGCCACTTCTTTTTTTTCCTCACTGCACAGTGATATAAAGATTTTTTTAAAATCCCACAAAAGTTTCATTTTGCTCAACTTGGGAAAGCATTTACTTTTTCTTTTTCCGCTAGCGGCACAGGACTGCCCACAGACTGAGCAGATTTATTAACTTTGCCTTTTTTTTTCTAACAGTTTCTAGGTCTGTGACTGCCACTGACATTCCACCCGACGGCACAGCCAGGCCATCGCTGTGCCGGGAGAGCTCTGCAGCCATCCTACAGGGAACAAACTACCCCGATCGCTGCAAAGCACAGCCGAAGTTTCGGTTGAACACGGGCAGCTACAGGGAAGATTGTAATCTTTTCAACAAAAAGCTACACGTGCAATTTTTATCGACTTTATTCAAAGAGAGCAAAATCCTCCTGGGTTTACATCATGTACATTTTTGTCTGCAGGGGCAGTTGCTATTATGTACGTCCTGATGTACATTTTCACCTCACTGAGATCACGCACTACACAGAAAACCTTGTGACAAAAAGAAGCTTCCTAATGCTACTTCACCCAAACCAAGGTAATTATCAGGCCAAGGGACTTCACCTCGACTGCCTGAGGAACTTGTGATCAAAATGCAGACCACAGGCTTTGCCTTTACGGACTTCCCAGCTGAGAATCAAAGAGAGGGGAGGCGGGGGAAATCAATGCGCTGTTTCGGTCATAGTCAGTCTCAAACAGCACTTTAGAAAAGCCTTTCCACCCAATATTAATTGCAGCTGGTAGAATACTGATCAATGCCCCCACACACTCCTGTTAAAATGAAAATTGCTGTTAAGAGCAAAATTAACCAAATTAAAGGAGCCATAACACAAAATACAAGGCGGGGGGTGGGGAGAGGGAGGAACACAAACCAAAAGGCCAGGAAAACAAACAAACAAACCATCAACAGCCTAGCAGTTAATATTACTTGATGAAAGGCTGCACTGAATGACAACAGCATGTGGGAAAAGTTAACTAGCAGTTCAATTTCTGCTCAAAGGCACTCCGCTCTCGCTCTTGCCACAATCAAAAATTGCACTGATGTCAAGAGACAAGCTGTGAATCACAGGAAATGTGGAGTTCTAAATTAACATCTGAGCATAAGGAACAGGAGTAAACCCTACCCTCCCCCCAGATCTTTCCTCCTGAAGTTGTGCAAGGTGAAGTCTGTGGACAAAGACAACAGAATGTCTGGTCCTTAGCAAGAAAAGCTCCATGAGAGAATTTTTCAGAGAAAGACCTTTGTCTGGCACATTAGTAATACACCCCCAAGACAAGGAATGACCCCGTACTGGTAAGGAGCTAGATTAACATTTCTTCCACCTCCACTGTTAACAACTGCTAAACAAAAGAGCTTGGTTCCACACACAGACATCAGGATTAGGGAAGTCCCCAGGCGAAAGCCCTTCATTGCGGCCCTGACTGTGACACCCCAAGCCACTACCAGCTCCGATTTTGGACTTGGGGTTTGTACACAAGCCAGAGTTCACGCAGCTGAAAGGCAGAAGACGACACACCAAACGTGCCAGCAAACCTTTGCAGAGCTGCTCCTCCACACGCAGCGCTTTCAGAAGCAAAACATCCCCGTCCCAGGCAGCCCACCCAGTGCCAGGCAGGCTCGAACAGCTAACAACCATGGCTACAAGGCTCAATAAAACCTCAATATGTGAGCAGGCACAGATAAATATAGTTTTAAGAAACACACTGGCTGACAGAACAGAGAAGGTAACAAGGCCATCTTGCTGCAAATTATTGACGGAAAGCCTCAAGATTTCATGGAGATACGTGAATTCTGATGCGAGTCCAGTTTCTGCTAATGAGGCAAGATAACGTTTCTATCCATCTCCTGGGTCAAAACCTCAACTGCGGGAACCAACCGCCCTGGACTGCTTGGCAGGGTACCGTCACGCAAAAACCTTCACAGCAATAGGGGATGAACACAGGGCTGATACAACCTTCTCCGAACCCACACCAAGGAGAGCAGAAATGCCAGGCTTTCACCAAACACTTGAATTAACCCGAATACAAAGGCTATTTAACAGCACAAGAGCACACCGCAGCGCTGTGGAATTTCAGCCCCTGAAGCACGGGAGAAGCAGGGAACACAACACAAAAACTGACGCCAGCTTGAAGCCGTTCCGCTCCCCGGTTCTCACGGAGACACCTGTTGCAGAGACGCCCAGCCCAGCCGGGAGA